GGTACAGTACAGTACAGTACAAGTACAGACACAGTGATCTTTGTATCACTGGCATACAGAGATGAACAAGATCAAATCCATGCCCTCAAAGAGGTTAGTCTTTGCTTCTTCAGACTTACCTCCATTTATCTCCACTTCATTTTTTCCTCCAAAAATGTTTTTTTGCCCTTAATTACTAAAAACCGAACTAAATGACCTCTGCTGCTCAATCATCATAAAATAAAAGTGTTTAAATTTTTGTGTCACTGAAGTCTTTTAAAAATGTTACATAAATGGTGTTTTATTCTAGAAGTTCAATTATATTCAATATATTCTATCACCAGAATGCTGCAAGAAGATCCTGTTTTGTTTCAGCTTTACAAAGACCTTGTTGTGAGTCAAGTGATCAGTGCTGAGGAATTCTGGGCCAATCGTTTAAATGTGAATGGGGCAGATAGTTCTTCCACATCCAATCATAAGCAGGATGTTGGCATTTCTGCAGCATTTCTGGTATGTGACCCTTCTAGATTTCTGAAGGAAAAAAAGAGAAAAAAAACCCAATATTTGTGTTGACGATACCGTTTCTTTTGTAAAATTTAACATTTCCTTACATTAATATGAAATTCAGTATCCATGGTATTCTAAAATGTTTTTAAAATACATACAGTATTTTTAAAATTTATATGTTTTTTTACCAATTGTATATTCTTGGTTTTTGTACTTGACTCTAGCATGCTGGAAGTCAAATGGACTTTGAAAGGGGCTCTTTTAGAAATTGGACTAATAATTATTTCTCTTAATACTTGTAAATTTAGGGCTTTGTGGTACCTTTTTTTTATTGCTCTGTTTTACTTATAATGCAAAGTTAAATGTATAATAACCGTATTATAGAAAAAGTTAGATTCATAAAGTGTACGTGATAGAAAAATTGGGAATACTATGCTGTGGAATTCAAAATGGAATTCAAAATGGAATTCAATTAGTCTGTACTCCAGTGGAACCAGAGCAGTATTTACACATATTGCTCTGTTTTACTTATAATGCAAAGTTAAATGTATAATAACAGTATTATAGAAAAAGTTAGATTCATAAAGTGTACGTGATAGAAAAATTGGGAATACTATGCTGTGGAATTCAAAATGGAATTCAATTAGTCTGTACTCCAGTGGAACCAGAGCAGTATTTACACATTCAACAAAAATTTGAGTACCAGTTGTATGTTTGATATCTTTCTGGGTGCTTAGTAGTACATTGAATTAATAAGGCCTTTCCCAAAGAAACCAGTTAATTAATGTTAGTTTAATTTTTTAGTAACCAAGGTTTATAGCGATTTTGGTAACTATACAAGTTTTATATAAAAGCTCCACTAGCTCTCTGCCTTCAGTCACACTTAAATATCCCTATTTGACTATATTGGACTTTCAAAGAAGCAGATTTTATAGGTCACTAACACTATGAGAAACCATCCTGGCTTCTTTGATCCCTGTCTCTATGCCAAAAGTGAAGATGAGAGACTTACTCTGTCTGTGCAGTTTATTTAGACTTCTTCCCTGATGTTCTAACTAATATGTATGTGTATGGTCTCTGTTTTAGGCTGATGTCCGGCCCCAAACTGATGGCTGTAATGGCCTGAGATATAATTTAACCTCTGATATCATTGAGTCCATATTTAGGACCTATCCAGCAGGTAAGAAGAATCTATTCTTCCAGATGGTTAAAATGTTTGTTTGGAAGAATTGTGTACTGTAGCAATGAAAAACAAAAAGCTTCACCTTTATTCCTGATTAAGTACAATAAAATACAAAAAATATTTTACCCAGTGTCTGACATATGGTAGATAGTAAGAGATTTATTAGCCCTCAGTATACCTGAGTGAATGACATGCTACAGAGGCATCAATAAATGAGTCTCTCTACAGCACTAACCCAGATCATCCAGATGCATCCAGGGTGGACCTTTCTAACCTACAAATTATTTCCCATCCAGAAACCATCCTGAAACTATAGATGCTTTGACCCCAGCCCTAGTGATTTATGATGTGCTGCCAAGGGTGAGAGCCACTGCTTAGTCATTGTTCTGACTAAACAGTACTCTCTTAAGCCTTTATTGTTATCTATTGTCACTTCTTCACTCCTGCTCTCTTTAGTCCTTAGGAAATATACCTCTCACTCAGGACTCAGCTAAAGCATTGGGTCAGGGTTGTGGTAAATAAATAAATAAATTAATTAATTAATTAAATAAAGCATTGCCTCATTGCCACCTCTGTGAAATCCTGACTTCCTCTGGCAGATATGAGCCTCCTCCCCTTTCCTTCTCTAGTGTCTTATGTCTGCTTCAAAGAATTATCACAATGTAATGTAATTTGTTTAATATCTTTCTGGTAAGAATAACCATCATACAGTTTTTAGTATGACACTATTCTAAGGCATTTTTCCACATTAACTCATTTAATCAGCATAAATAGCTATGAAGTGGGTACTTTTATGACCCTTATTTTGCAGTTGAGGAAACCAAGGTACAGAGAGATTAAGTAATTTGCCCAAGGTCACACAGATAGTAAGTGGCAGACCTAGCATTTTAAATTCAGACTCTAGCTCAAGAAACCATGCACTTGTCAACTGACTATAAGCTTCTGGAGTGCCAAGTTGATAGTCCAGTGGTTATTGAGATCTTTATTTTCCCACCACCTAACACAGTGCCTTGGACTGAAAGTGTGCATATATAAATAAAAAAACAGCCAAACTTGGGTCTGATCCCAAGATTTTTGGTGTGTCTACTAAAACTTCAAAACTTAATTCTCTTGGTGCAAAGTAAGGTTTTGTTTATAATTTGTTAAGATTCTTAGAGATAGCACCTTGCCTAATATCCCAAGTTATATTTCATGTTTACAATTAGATTAATAGTATATAGTATATAAAATTGAGAGCTTCATAATCTGATTTCTGCTATTAATCTATATTTCAGTTATCTAATTTGAAAGGTTTGAAGAAATTGAAATTCAGCATGTAACATTTCTTATGGTTTTTATCCACAGTAAAAATGAAATATGTAGAAAATGTTCCCCACAACATGACAGAAAAGGAATTCTGGACACGTTTTTTCCAGTCCCATTATTTTCACAGGGACCGGCTGAATACAGGGTCAAAGGATCTCTTTGCAGAATGTGCCAAAATAGATGAAAAAGGTAACTGCTTATCCCTGACACACTCTAATACAAAGATACTTCAGAAAGTTCTGGAAAAATAGAATTAAAAGATATGAATCTTCCCATGAATTTTTTGAATTACCTTCATATTTACCTTGTCACTCTCTTAAGTCATTAGAGATGTTAATGGATTTCTTTTTTAATTTCTGAGAAAGAGTAAGATGTGATGAACTTTTTATTTCATTGATTTTTCCAGGGTTAAAAACAATGGTTTCATTGGGAGTGAAAAACCCACTACTAGATTTGACTGCTTTGGAAGATAAACCATTAGATGAGGTAAGAAACAATAAAAGGGGTGTGAGAGAAAACACTTTTTCTAGTCTTCACTCTTTATAATTTTAAAATTGCTTGAAGTGTAGATACATTCTACCTATGAGAATGTAAGACAAGCACAATACTGTTGTTTGAAGTGATTTATCAGAAGTGCTTTTCAGTAGCGCTGTTTGCTGTTAAAATTGCCTTGAAAAACTTGAAATTCCTGTATGAGTTACTAAAACTTTGACTAACTTTCTAACTCTCCTGTCAATAATTCTGTTAGGTAATAATCAAGGCTTGACATAAGTCCAGATTTATGTCCAGCTACCATTTAGTCTAAAGAAATGTGGATGTATATTAGTAAAAACAAGGAAGATAAACATTTGTTGATTGCCTACTTTCTGCCTAGCCTTGAGCACTCTCCTGAACCTTACCCAAACCAGTCCCAATAAGTTTCAGCAGCTAGACCATCAAGTATGAGCTCCCTACCTCAACATTATGCCTCCAGATGTACAAATTTACCCAGTCACAGAGAAAGAGGTGATTCCTTTGATCAAGGTTAATTCCATCCCTACCTCTATATTCTATGCCAAGAGCCTGTCTTCCTCAGTTATTCTGTTCAGTATATTTTTATTTTCTTACCCTTTTTTTCCCTAACCTTTTCACCTTATTTTAGTACATGTACTCATCAGATGAGAAAAAACAACGTTAAAATTTTGTGCTACAATCTAATTATAAGCTAACAAAGTAATCGTTGGTGCTCAGGTTAGTCACTTCCTTGATGAAAGTCAGTCATTTTCTTGGTAGTTCTCAAAACTCAGTTATTTCCTTGGTGAACCACAACACATTACAAATGGCCCCCAACTCAATGATGGTTCGAATTAATGATATTTTTACTTTACAGTGATGCGAAAGCAATACACATTCAGTAGAAATAACACTTCGAATTTTGATTCAAAATTCTTCATAGTAACTTTATTATCAAATAGGGTTTGTGTTAGATGATTTTGCCCAATTATAGGCTACTGTAAGTGTTCAGAGCTCATTTAAGGTAAGCTAGGCTAAGGTATGATGTTTGGTAGGTTAGGTGTATTAAAAGCATTTTCAACTTAAGATATTTTCAACATACAGTGGGTTTGTTGGGACATAACCCCATTGTAAGCCAATGAGCATCTGCACAAACATGGCCCTCTTTAATCATTCTGAAAAAATGAAGCTTTGTGAAGCTTAGAGCTAGAGCTTAAGGGCTGGCCAGTTAGCTCAGTTGGTTAGAGTGCAGTGTTATAACACCAAGGTTAATGATTAGAGCTATATGCTAGTTCCTCAAGGTTAATGATTTGGATCCCCATACCAGCCAGCCACCCAAAAAAAAGAGAGCGAGAGAAAGATAGAACTTAGTATGATGAAAAAAAAAATTTAGTGTTTTTTTTTTAATAAAGATGACATATTGTGCATGCACTTTTGTAACTTTCTTTTTCACTTTGCTTATTATTAATATCAGTCCGAACTAAGACATAACAATTAAAATTCCTTGAAGTTGATATGACAGGCAAACAGAAAGGACATTGTTGGGAGGGGCGGGGAGAGGAGGGAGGGAAGGAGGTTTTGGTAATTGTCCACAATAATCAACCACATTGTATATTGACAAAATAAAAAAAAAAAGAAAGAAATAATAAAAAAGAAAAAAATATATCACTCCGAACTAAATATAGTTGTTAAGTACATAGACTTTAAAACCAAACTACTTGACTTAGACTCCAACGTTCTAAGCCTGGTTTTTTATCTTTTGTTTTGTTCTTGTTTTTGTTTTTTTAAATAAAATGAAGCTGATAGTACTAGCCTTATAGGATTGCTATAAGAGTTAGAAGAGCCTGGTACATAGTAAGTACTAAATAAATAATAGGTGTGACTATTATTATCCATGTTTCTAAATGCCTGCAAAGTATTTCATTGGTATGGATATATCAACATTTATATAACCAGTTCCTTTAATAGAAATGTGGTTGATTCCATTTTTCATTTTTTCCTTTGTTTTTGTTTGTTTGTTTGGTGTCTGGGTGGTACGGGGATCCGAACCCTTGACTTTGGCAGTATAACACCATTTTCTAACCAATTGAGCTAATCAGCCACCCCTCCCTTTTTTCTTTGGTGCCTCTTCTTCCTCTGTCAACCTCTGATTATTGTAGCTGTCACAGGATATTGTCTCAGGTCTCATTCTGAGTACATTCTCTTTATTCCATTGATATAAATACTAATTATGTAGTGATGAATCCCAAATAGCTTTGTTTTTATATCCAGAGCTCCAGAATCATATATCCAACCATCTACTTAATATCTCCACTTGGATACCTCACAGCATCTCAACTTAATACATCCGGAATAAAAACTTTGATTCACATCCTCAAAAGCTATTTTTTCCTGGGTCTTTCCTATTTCAGTAAAAAGAATTACTATTTGCTCAAGCCAAAAACCTGGAGTCTCCTTGATACTTCCCTTCATTTGCATCTAGCCTTGAATTCATCATCAGGTCCTCTATGATACGTCTGTGATCTGTCTGCATCTTTCTATTTCCACAGACATTTATAACCTTTTAAGCTGTCACCATCGTTGGTCTGATTGCTTGCATTGGCCTCCTGAATAATCTTCCTGTTTTGCACTCTTGTCCCTTACAGTTCATTCTACCCTAGCAATAAGAGTTATAATATAAATCCAGCCATAATACTCCCCTATGTGAAACTCTTGAGTGGCTTCTCATTGAACTTAGGATAACATTGAAGCTCTTACAAGTCTCTGCTTGATTTGGCCCGTCTACTTCTTCTACCTCATTTTGGGCCATTTCCGCTCGTTCATGGTCCAAATATTAATGACCTTTCAGTTCCATGCTGTCTGAAGGTGGAGCAAGGCAAAATGCCCACCAAACTGAGAAGGTATCTTAAGATCAAAAAGTGAGGCAAACAGTTCCATGAAAGCAGAATGTCATTAAAGAGGGTAACTTACTTACAGGATGACGGATTGGGCAGGTAAAGACACAGAGGCATACGCAGTTTTTCTGCACCACCTCCTGGTTGAGCCCAAGTTTATTTAGACAGTTTATACAAAGCAGTGGAAAAAGCCAAGAAGCAATTTCTTTTTTTTTTTAATTTAATTTAACTTTATTTTACTTTTCAAAATACGTTGTACTTGACTTTCATGCCCCTTTACCCGTTCCTCTCCACCCCCTTCTCTCCCCCACCCAACATCATATCTGTGCACTTGACTTAAATAGTTCAAGGAATTTTTGTTGTTATTCTGTCTTCTTTCTCCCACCCTTTGTTTGTGTGTTTTTTATTGTTAGCTCCCACAAATAAGTGAGAATATGTGGTGTTTCTTTCTGTGCCTGACTTGTTTCACTTAATATAATTTTCTCTAAGTCCGTCCATGTTGTTGCAAATGGTAGTATTTCATTCTTTTTTATAGCAGAGTAAATTGTGTAGACGCACCATAGTTTTCTTATCCACTCATCAGATAATGGACATTTCAGCAGGTTCCAGCTCTTGGCTATTGTATATAGAGCTGCAGTAAACATTGGAGTACAGGTATCCCTTTGGCATGATGATTTCCATTCTTCTAGGTATATTCCCATCAGCGGGATCGCTGGGTAATATGGTTGATCTATCTGTAATTGTTTCAGGAACCTCCATATCATTTTCCATAATGGCTGCCCCATTTTGCAGCCCCACCAACAGTGGATAAGAGTTCCTTTTTCTCCAGAACCTTTCCAGCACTTATTGTTCTCAGTCTTTTGGATGTTAGCTATCCTAACTGGAATGAGATGGTATCTCAGCGTGGTTTTGATTTGCATTTCCTGGATGCTGAGTGATATTGAGCACTTTTTATGTGTTTGTTGGCCATTCGTATATCTTCCATTGAGATATGTCTGTTCTGCTCCTTTGCCCATTTTTTAATTGGGTTACTTGGGTTTTTTTGTTGTAAAGATGTTTAAGTTCCTTGTATATTCTGGATATTAATACTTTGTCAGATGTATATTTAGCAAATCTTTTCTCCCACTCTGTTGGTTGTTTTTTTACTCTGTTGATTGTTTCTTTTGCTGTGCAGAAGCTTTTTAGTTTGATATAATCCCATTTGTTTATTTTACCTTAGTTGCCTGTGCTTTTTGGGTTCTATTCATGAATTCTGTACCCACTCCTATTTCCTGGAGTGTTTCCCTTATGTTTTCTTTAAGGAGTTTTATTGTTTCAGGGTGTATATTTAATTCTTTAATCCATTTTGAATTGATTTTGATATACGGTGAAAGATATGGCTCTAGTTTCATTCTCCTACATATGATTATCCAGCTTTCCCAGCACCATTTGTTGAAAAGGCATCTCTTCCCCAGTATGTAGACTTGCACCTTTCTCAAAGATCAGGTGGCAGTAGGCATATGGGTTGATTTCTGGGTTCTCTATTCTATTCCATTGATCTGTGTGTCTGTTTTTATGCCAGTACCATGCTGTTTTGGTTATTATAGCTTTTTTTTTTTTTTTTTTGTCCTTTTTGTCTTTTTTCGTGACCAGCAACGGATTGCAACCCTCAGTGTCACGCCCGTACCGGACCAGGACTAGCAACGGGATTGCAACCCTCGGCGTTGCGCCCGCACCTCGCTCAGCCAGTGAGCCGCCGGTCTGTATGTGGGATCCGAACCCTCGGCGGGAGCGCCACTGCACTCCCAAGCGGCGCACTACAGTAGTGCGCCACCAGGCCGGCCCTGGTTATTATAGCTTTGTAATATAGTTTAAAGTCAGGTTGTGTTATGCTACCAGCTTTATTTTTTTTGGCTCAGGATTGCTTTGGCTATGTGTGGTCTTTTGTTGTTCTATATAAATGTCTGGATAGCTTTTTCCATCTCAGAGAAAAATGTCTTTGGAATTTTGATGGGATTGCATTAAATTTGTAGATCACTTTGGGTAATATGGACATTTTCATAATGTTTATTCTTCCAATCCAAGAGCATGGGATATCTTTCCATCTTCTTGTGTCCTCTTTAATTTCTCTCAACAGTGGTTTGTAGTTCTCTTCACAGAGATTTTTCACATCCTTGGTCAGCTTTATTCCTAAATATTTTATTTTTTTGGTGGCTATTGTAAATGGACTAGCTTTCTTGATTTCTTTTTCTGCATGTTCACTGGTGGAGTATAGAAATGCTACTGATTTTTGTGTGTTGATTTTGTACCCTAAAACTTTGCTGAAATCATTTATCAACTCTAGGAGTTTTTTTTATAGAAGCTTTAGGCTGTTCAATATATAGGATCATGTCATCTGCAAAGAGGGACAGCTTGACTTCATCTTTCCAACCTGGATGCCCTTTATTTCCTTCTCTTCTCTGATTGCTCTGGCTAGTACTTCCAACACTATGTTGAATAGGAGTGGGGAGAGTGGGCATCCTTGTCTAGTTCCTGTTTTAAAGGGAAAAGCTTTCAGCTTTTCCCCATTCAGGATGATATTGGCAGTGGACTTATCATATATAGGCTTTAATTATGTTGAGGTACATTCCGTCTGTGCCTAACTTGTAAACAGTCTTTATCATGAAAGGATGTTGAATTTTGTCAAATGCTTTTTCAGCGTCAATTGAGATGATCATGTTTTTTGTCTTTGCTTTTATTAACGTGGTGTATCACATTTATTGATTCACGTATGTTGAACCAACCTTGCATCCCTGGGATGAATCCCACTTGATCATGGTGTATAATTTTCTATATGTGTTGCTGTACTCTGTTAGGTAGTATTTTATTGAGGATTTTTGCATCTATATTCATCAAGGATATTGGCCTGTAGTTTTCTATTTTTGATGCATCCTTGTCTGGTTTTGGTATGAAGGTGATATTTCCCTCATAGAATGAGTTTAGGAGAATGGCCTCTGTTTCAATCTTTTGGAACAGTTTGTAGAGAATTGGTATCAGTTCCTCTTTGAAGATTTTGTAGAACTCTGCAGTGAACCCGTCCGTTCCTGGGCTTTTCTTTGTTGGGAGCCTTCTGATAATAGCCAAGAAGCAATTTCTAAGAAACAAGCTAACGTCACTAACTCCAGATGTCTTATAACAATGATTATTATCTTTGGTGGTCTTGTAGTGCAGGTAGCCAGACCAGCTATTGCAGTACCAGTGCTTAATCATTAAGTTTCTTCTTTGTAGTCAGCAAGGTGTTTTTACCTATTGTTCTAACCTACCTTACCCCTAGTTAGTATACAATGTCTGTGGTCAGAGTTCACACAGAGGATACAGTAAGTGTTAAGGGCTTCAAGATGGAATAAGTTATATTCACAGTCTCACACATGCCATGCTTTTTTCCACCTCAGGACCTTTGCACTTGCTGTTCTACCTGCTCTTTTCCCTAAGTAGCTTCTACATGTCTTTAGACATCTGTTCTAATGTTCCTTATTCAAAGAGACCTTCACTAACCACCCTGTCTAAAGTAGCTCCCTCCCCCATTCATTATGTTACCCTCTATTTTCTTCACTTCATCGTGTTACCCTCTGTTTTCTTCATAATGTTTGTCACTTTGAAAAGAGATCTTACAAATAAAAATAAATTAATTAAATTAAATTTAAAAAGAAGATCTTGTTTTTACTTGTTTTGTTTGATATTTGCCAGTCAGTCTCCTCAATAGGGTGTAAGCTTCATGTGAGTGACTTTGTTCTTGTTTATTTAACTATCTCCAGCACATGGTATATATCAAGCACTTAGTAATGTTTGATAAATGGATGAATGGCATATGAGCCTTTTTGTGATATTTCACCTTTTTAGCCTCACCAATCCCTAGACCACCCTTCATTCTAGGTGTACCAGACTACATACAAACCCATGACACAATATACACTACATTTTATATCTTTGTTTAAGCAGTTTCCTCTCCCTGAAATGTTGTTTCCCATGCTGCTTAGCAAGTACCTATTTATCTGATGTTGTCCCATGTTCAAACCTTATCCCTCTTCTCCTCCAGTAGGATTGATCTCTTCCTGTCTCATAGCACCTGTAACTCTTCATCGTGTGTGCTGGCTTATAGCGCAGCTTCCCACTAACTAGAATGTTGGTTGCTATGGCACAGGGTCTTATCAATTTTTTATCTGCAGGGCCTAGCATATAGCATGCATACAATACATGTTTGAAAATATTCTCTCATTTAATTCTCCAATATCTTATTTTATAGAACTTGGAATAGTTGATTACCTTGACTAAACTAATTTTGAAAAAGTGATAAAGCCAGAATTTGAATCCATATTTTTCTGACTCCATAGTCCATGCTGTTTTTCCATTGTATTCCTTTGTTTAATGTTTTGCTTATTAGATCCAAAATTACTCTTTAAAAAACAAATGCAAAGTTGAAGAGTAAGATTATTTTGTGATGCTTAAAGAAGTTGGTTTTTTAATATTTTTGTGTACAATATCACTTATTTTTTTAAATGTTCACTTGTATATATTTAATAATGTTCATGAGGATTAATAAACCCATCATCCAGCAAATTTTTTCAACTAAGCATGTCTTTTACAATAGTGAAGAAAATGAGAACCTTATTTTGATTCTTAATCTATTGAATTATTTCTTATAGGGCTATGGCATTTCCTCTGTGCCATCTACTTCCAATTCTAAATCCATAAAAGAGAATAGTAATGCTGCCATCATCAAGAGGTTTAACCATCACAGCGCCATGGTCCTGGCAGCAGGTCTCAGGAAACAGTTAAGTATACATGTAAAGGTGCAATAACTGAGCTTTTCAGGATATTCCAGATGGAGTTGTGGTGTTTTGCTTCTGGTTTTCAATATTAATTTTTTTTTCCTTTGTTTTAAGAGAAGCACAAAATGAACAAAATGGTGAGCCCAGTGGCATGGATGGAGACGCAGGAGATGCAGATTGCTTTCAACCAGCAGTCAAAAGGGTATGGGCAAAAAATTGGGACCGTGTAGAGCTTGGGCTTCTCCAGATATCTTCTATAATTGCGAGTACTTTATGTTGCTTGATTACTTCATATGTCTCAGTTCTTCTAACCACAACATTAAGCGTTTGGCTTAAAGTGTAGAGCATTGTAAAGAATACTTCCTTTGACTTGACAGCCAACTTTCCATGGACTCTAGCCTGTAAACCCTTTCTGTTGACTTTTTTCCTTCACACGTACATACGCACACAGATTGTTTTTTGTGTGTGATTTTGTTTTCTGGGAAAGAGTATTCAATAGAGGCAGTATGACAGAAAGAAAAACTAAAGTTTTGTGTATATGACTTAAAAAGAAAGTGAATTGGCCCTCATGTTAAACCTAGCATTTCAGAGCTGGAGATGTCTTCTCATTAAATACTGAAGAAATAATTTGAGGATGTAGAATATGACAAAGTTAGCTACTTGCATATTCCTTCTTTTTTTTTTTTCCTTTTTGTCTTTTTTCGTGTCCGGCAACGGATCGCAACCCTCAGTGTCGCGCCCGCACTGGACCGGGACCGGCAATGGGATCGCAACCCTTGGTGTCGCGCCCGCACCTCGCTCACCCAGTGAGCGGGAACCGGTCTTTATGTGGGATCCGAACCCTCGGCGGGAGTGCCGCCACGCTCCCAAGCAGCACACTGTAGCAGTGCGCCACCGGGCCGGCCCTGCATATTCCTTCTTTTCCTGCAACTTAGCTAAGCTACTCTGTCCCTCTATAAAGCTTTCTTAGAGGACAGTCAGGAAATATGTAGTAAAATTTTAAAGGTTTTTGCCCTTTATTTTACTTCTGGGCAGTATTCCACTCTGGACATTTATTTTAAGAAAATAAATGTATGCAAAGATTTAGATACAAATACTCATCACAATATTGTAATAGAGGAAATAGCAAACATCCTGGTATCTGTTGTATATCCATGCGATGGACATTGATGCAACCAATAATGACTTTTAAAGGATTAATGATGTATTGCATCAAAGAGAGTTCACAGAACAGACTTTGATAACAGTTTTACGTGTTAAGAAAAAAAAGTTATGAACTTTAAAAAGGCCTTCAAAAGAATATGCTAAACAGTTTTTGGTAAAGGTATATGGGCAAATCTTACTTATTTCATATATTTCAGTAATATGTTTCTACAGGCACCTTTAAAATTAATAAAGCCAACGAGATATTTCTTTTCTGAATTAAGAAAAGCAAAACTAGGGCTGGCCTCGGTTAGCTTACTTGGTTAGAGCATGGTATTGATAACACTAAGGTCAAGGGTTTGGATCCCCTCACCGGTCAGCTGCCCAAAAAAAGAAAAAAAAATCTAAAATATAAGTTTTAGAGAGGTTAAAGAAGACATGTAGGAAGTGATACTTTTTTTGCAGTGCTGTTTCACTGAGTACCCTTAATTCTTGGTAGTGAACAAGTTGTAAAAAATCTTTGTTTCTCCATGTGAATTTTCACAAAACAGATGCTCCTCAACCTACAATGGAGTTAGGTCCTGATAAAACCATTGTAAGTTGAAAATGCTATTAAGTCAAAAATGCATTTAGTAAACCTAACCTACTGAACATCATAGCATAGCCTAGCCTACTTTAAACATGCTCAGAACACTTACATTAGCCTACAGTTGGGCAAAATCATCTAACACAAAGCCTATTTTATAATAAAGTATTGAAAATCTTAGGTAATTTGCTGAAAACTATACTGGAAATTAAAAACAGAATGGTTGTATGACTACTCAACGTGTAGTTTCCACTGAATGCATATCACTTTTGCACTACCACAAAGTCAGGCACCATCTGTATTCAGTAATAGGTGCTGGCTCTAAATATTCTTCCAAGTCAATAATTGACTGCTGTGTGTTCTACAAAGGGTTTTATAGATTGAGAGATTTAGAAGTAATATTAGGCTAAGTACCTACATTTATGGAGCTTTCAGTTAAGTATGAAGGTTAGGTGACCTAACTAGACTTTCATGGAAGTTTAGGATTTGCAATATTATGGGAGCTTGGGTAGGGACATGGCTTAAGTAAGGCAACAGCAGGGGTAGAAATGAGCTTGACGTATATGAAAAATATTGAAGACATCAGTATGCCTTGAAGTTAGCTGAAAAGTGTAGAGTTAAGAAAATAGTAAAAAAAAAATGAGGCCGAGTCTAGTTAAGGTGGGACTGATTGATGTGTTACTCTGAGTTTCATGCTGAAGAGGTCAGATTTGTTCCTATACTATAAGGGAACTATTTATATTATTCAGATTTAAAATAAGGGCAATTTAAAATACTAAGTTTTCAAGTTGACCTTATCTGAGATTTATTTAATAACGTAAATGTTCTTATTCTAGTCTTGGTAGCTACAGATGAGCATTGACCAAATGAATTTCATAGCTGTGTAGAGGATGAAATAATATATAAGTGATATTCACAATGTTTACATAGATTACCAATGTGGTTTTTTTGGTAAGTAATGTGTTTTTATTTTAAGGCTGTAGGAATTTAAGCAATTTGTTACTAGCACAGGAGAAAACAGATTAGTAACCAAAATTGGGAATCCAGAAGTAAACCCAAAAATACATTCAGGAATTAAGTATATGTATGATACACATGGCATTTCAAAATCCATGGGAAAAGACTGATTATTCCACAAATGATGTTAGAAGGACACCACTGGTTAATAATTTAGTGAAATTTAGATTCCCTACCTTACTCCAAAATAAATTCTGTGTGGATCCAAGTTTTAAGCAAAAAGTATGCCACAGAAATATAAGCCAAAAAGGGAAGAGGTAGATTTTTTTTATAGTTAAAATCAAAAAGCACCAAACTGGAAGAGAAAGTATTTGCAACACATATCATAAAAGACTATTTCCTTAATATTCAAAAAAAGAAATTCTATTAACAGAAAAATGCTCAATAGGGGAAAAAAAGGTGAAAACGTGAGCAAATAATTTATTTGGAAAAAAATAAAATACAAACTTTCACCTACCAGACTGGCAAAAATTAAAAGTTCAGTAGTACTTGGTATAGTCAGAGTATAGGGAAACAAGTACTTTATGTAAGTGGCTGGCAAGAAAATTGGTTCAGCCATTTGTAGGACAATCATCTCTAGGAAGTGAAGCTCATAGTGGGAAGACATCTTTTTTTATCCTCTGTACAGTTTTATTTTTTCAGCCTTATTTGTTATTTCTGTAAGAGAAAGTTACTGCAAAATTAAAAAGTACTGTGTTAATGATTATAGGCGAAGTTACAAGAATCCATTGAATATGAAGACTTGGGGAAAAATAATTCTATAAAAACGATTGCACTAAACCTCAAGAAGTCAGATAGGTAAGTTTGGTTAATATTAAGCAGAATAGTTAAGTTACACAATTCAGTGCAGAATATCCTGTATTCTGCAAGTATAGCCCTCATGTTTTAATCAGTTTGTTACTAAAAAACGTACAATATCCTTTTTCCTTAAAAATTTACTTTGTGCATCACAGGAAAGCATCTTAAATGACCAAAGCCAAGAAAATAAATTTTGGATCTTGGTGCTATTTCTTTCTTATAGCCCTTAAGGGAATTAAATTACTTTATTGAAATTTCTTCATACTGTCATTTTTGTCTTGAGGGGGCACATCGTATAGTCTGCTAAAATGTTTGAAAGGCAAATGTTGAGCAACTTTACTCTGTGATTAATGATTTCTTATTTGCTCACCTTCAGGTATTATCATGGTCCAACTCCAATCCAGTCACTGCAGTATGCAACGAGTCAGGACATTATTAATTCTTTTCAAAGTATTAGACAAGAAATGGAAGCTTATACACCCAAGTTAACTCAGGTAGGTGATTTGTACTGTTTGAAGATCAGAATTCCCATAGTTTCTTCCTCAGTTTATGAGCACAACCAGATTGAACTATATAGCTAATATTTTAGTTGGTTTTAAAGATATATTTCTGCTAAATTTAAAAATCAAGAGGTAGAGAGAAAAGATGTTGGATATATTCAAGAAGCATCTAAAGATAAAATGATAATATAAAATAAGATAATAAGTTTTGTGATTGCTAATTTTTTGCTTTCATATACTCAGTTTTATTGGGGAAATTCCTAGATTTCCAAATTCCTTCTAGACATCACTGTCTGGATATTCTGCATGACCACAAACTCAGAATATATAAAGCAGAGCTCATCACCTCTTCTTCATTTTTCCCACCCTTCATACTTCATTTGATCAGCAAGTTCTGTCAGTTCTTCCTTCATTAATATTTCTTGACTCTGTCACCTTGGTTTAGGTAAACCTGATTAATTTTCCACATGCTACTGTGAGTTCTCTCTCCAAAAATATATATTGTTTCATTACTCTGCAGCTTAAAAACCTTCACTGCCTCCCTTTATTGCCATAGTAATAGGCTGAGAGCCTTTGTCTAGCATGCAAGACCTTTTACAGTCTGGCTCTAGCCCGCTTCTCCTGTCCCATCTTCAGCCAGTCTCCACCACTCCCTTTTCATACATACCCAAGAGTTCTGTACTCCAGCTTAACACCCTAAGCTATCATCTCTTTCATACTTCCTGTGCTTTCACTCATGCTTTGTCTCTTCCTGGAATGTCCTTATCCCTGTTTATGCCCCAGGGAAAATAATCATTATTTGACTCAGCTCCAATTTCATTGCCTCTGAAAACAATCCTCAACATAAACAGGGAGGAATTAGTTTTTTCCTTTTCTCTATTTTTGTGAGTACATACCTATATTATAGTGCTTATCACACATCAGGACTCATTTTTTTTTTACTTTTTAAGTAATCTCAGATTTACAGAAAGTTGCAAAAACTATATGTTTTCCAATCCATTTTAAGAGTAGGTTATGGGCTTGATTTCCCTTTACCCCTAAATATTTCAATGTATATTTCCAAAAAAGTAAGACATTCTCTTAAATAACATGGTACAATTATAGAATTAATAAGTTAACATTGACATATTATCTAACCTACAGGTCTTAACTGAAATCTCGCATTTATACCACTGATGTCCTTTATAGCAAAAGAAAACTATTCTTGGTCCAGCAGCCAAGAATTCATAAATTCATAATTTATGAATTATATTTAGTTCTGTCTCTTTAGTCTCCTTTAAAACAGAACCATTTTTCAATCTATCTTTGTCTCTCATGACCTTGGCCAGTTTTTTATAGAATACCTTCAACTTAAGTTTCTCTAATGTTTCCTAATGACCTGATTCATGTTATGCAATTTTGACAGGAATACCACAGAAGTGATGTGTCCTCCTCAGTGCATATCAAGAGGCACTCAATTTATATATGTCCTAACTTGTGATAATTAGCTTTGATCCCTTTGGTTAAGGTAGTTGTCTGCCTGGTTTCTCCACCAAAAAGTTACTACTTTCCCCTTTGTAATTAATAAGTATCTTGTGAAGAGGTACTTTGAGACTGTGTAAATATATCATTTCGCATCAAATTTTCATCTACTAGTTTTTTAGAATCCATGGATGATTCTTGCCTGAAACAGTGGTGGCCATTAAATGGTGATTTTCTAATTGCATGATCCCTTTTACATTTATCAGTTGACTGTCTACTGAAAGGAAGAGCTTTTCCTTCTGTATTTATATCATCAGCATTGATTCATAAATTATTATTCTATGGGTTATAAATTGTTGCTATTATTTTTTCTTTTTTCTTTTTTTTGGCTGCTGGTGGATATGGGGATTCAAACCCTTGACTTTGGTGTTATCAACACTGCGTTTTAACCCAACTGAGCTAACCAGCCTGCCCATTTTTTCTTTTTTTAAACTAAGGTATAATTTACATACAATAAAATTTATCTTTTTAAAAAATTTTTTTTACAAAACAGATGACTGGTAAGGGGATCTTAACCCTTGACTTGGTGTTGTCAGCACCACACTCTCCCAAGTGAGCCACGGGCTGGCCCTTAAAATTTACCTTTTTTAAGTCTACTGTTCTTCGAGTTTGATAAACACATACATTTGTGTAACCACTAACGCAATTAAGATGATAAAACAGTTCTGTCAGCACAGAAAATGTACCTATGCCCCTTTGTAGTCAAACCCTTCCCACACCCTTTACACCAGCTCCTATGTCTTTCTGACAATGTTCCCATCGTTCTTTGAGCCCTTATTTTATGGCACAATAAGATAGATGTTTAGACTCATCTTATACTTTCCCTGCCCCAGCCAGAATCATCTTTTAGTGCTGAGTGGAATTAGAAACCAAGATATGGGCCGGCCCGTGGCTCACTCGGGAGAGTGCGGTGCTGATAACACCAAGGCCCCGGGTTCGGATCCCACTTAGAGATGGCCGGTTGCTCACTGGCTGAGCGTGGTGCTGACAACACCAAGTCAAGGGTTAAGATCCCCTTACCGGTCATCATTAAAAAATAAATAAATAAATAAATAAATTTTTTTTTCATCCAGTCCGTGTACACATGGATTTCTGCTCATAAAACTGCACTGGAAAAATCTTAGACACACTAACCCTTCACTTGAGCTATTCCACAAATGATTTGTCCCTC